AAATTGGTACGCGTATAGTTACTTGTCGTCGAGACGAGAAAATCACTCCTCTCAGCTTCTGACCCTCTCAGTATGTTACTCGTGTTCCCTATTTATCCCTCTCTTTAACTCTCTCCTTCTTCGTTTCCATACCTTCCTTTTTGTGGTTTTTCTCTGAATTAGCTTGGAAAGTAGGAAAATGGAACAAAGAGAATTATGAAGTGATTCACGTTTACATGAAGATGAAATTTTTGTTTTATTTCACGCTTTACTTTATCACGCTCAATTACTATCATTAATGTGTTACTTTGTATTCACACTAACATATTTGCCAATAAATTATACTTTAAGAGGCTCGGGTAATGTGCATTTCTCATGATAGATTGAGTTTTACAGTTTCCATCGAGTTTCAAAGCTTATGAATGAAGAAGTGTTTGGACAAGTATATCGAAGACACGAATAAACTTTAAATTTTCGTCACAGATATAATTTTAAATAAATTTCAGTTGAACTTGTATCAATTCTTTAGAACGATCGATTATATCTTTATCCCATTTTACAGTCAATTCTACCTTGAATTATAAATTTGCACTAATTTATATGCATTAATAGCTATATATACGATAGCCGAGACATAATTTATAACGCCGAATTTTATAATTTATAAGATCTTACTAATTATGTAGTGTGAACAAGATATGAATAAAAAATATTGTAAAGAAGAGACTTGCTTTTTCATTTTAATTATAAATGCAACAAATGAAAATATTATATCATTATAAGATGAAAAACTTCTTATTCCTTTGTCTTATGTATTATTAGTATTATTATACACAATATTATTTAAATATATTGAATTACAAACGGTAATCACTTAATAAAATATTTGTGTATTTCATTCAGGAATAGACTTTTTATTGTTTATCAATTTTTTAACCAAAATATAGTTCTCAATCGTAATTATAAATTTGTTAACTTAAGTTTACTAATTCTATTCTAACTGCTTTTCGGTTGTAATAAAGTTTCATTTCGATGAAATTATAATTTAAATTGCATTACCAATATTTTAACCTCTACTATTTCATAATACCTCAATATTTTATATTTCAATTGTATAGTGTAAAATTCGTTTTGCAATATCATTGTAATAATTTTATTAATCTTTCTCTTGATATATTTATAATATTCATAGCTAATTGAACAGTTATTTCCCAACAGACTGTGTAAATATATTCGATATTCGATTAAATTAAAAACAAAAAAAAAAAAACTTACAACATTATAATGCCTAAATAAGATATTAATAATAATTGATGTAATATTCACAAAAAGAAAAAATCAAAGAGTTAAGTAAATTGACATTTATATATATATATATATATATATATATATATGCCATAAAGTTATCGATTAATGTAATCCATTATAAATTGTTGTAAATTTAAGATTTTACAAGTTTACGTATACATAAATTGCTTATGTAAATATAAATTTAACGCGAATTTCTTTACGAAATCATATTACTTATTGATGTAAATTATTATTTGATTAAGAGTTTCAAATAATATACCATGAGAAATGTAGGTATAGTTTAAAAATATTCAAGGTCTTGACATTGAAGTATACATATATAGAATTAACGCTACTAATCTAATCGCAGGCTAAAAGGTTTCGGTCTTCGTTAAACTGCGTATGCCAGACTTGCCAAATTCTAGAAATTGTTTGATCATGAAAGCAGCGCCTTTCCACATTAAATCTTCTTCTAAATTAAGTCGTGGACTTGTGCAGACTTTGATAGGACGCGCGTATGAGTCAATGAGCACAAAATGCATTGGCCGGGAATTGCTCCATAGCGGTCGGTTTATTTTAACGAAGGACGACAAGAAAAGAAAGTTATAAGGTAAATAAAAGAAGACCGGGAAGAGAGAGAGAAAGAGAGAGAGAGAGAGAGAGAGAGAAAGAGAGAGGAAGAGAGAGAGAGAGAGAGAGAGAGAGAGAGTCAAAAATACAAAATGTATACAAAATGTCTGAAAATTTCCGAAAGCGAAGAGGCACGGCTCCAATCTGAATATCGCTAATTCTTATTCGGACGGGCAGGCTTTAATAACGATGCTCCCCTCTCCTTCGCCGCCCATCCCCCTTCCACTATCCGCCCTCTAGCCGAGGATTTCTCTGCGCTCTGCTCAACAAGTAAGAGGCACGTTCGCCGTTAGCCAGCTGTTCGCAGAAGGGATTACGCTAAGGCAGCGATGCCACGATGACGATGAGAAGGACGAACCCGCGTTCGGATTTATTGCACGCGCGCGCGTCGCCACTCGTCGCGTGATGCCGCCCGATTATCTACGAATTTAGGTGAAACACGTGACGGGCTCGGAAGATTTGTATAATTTGGCACGCGCCCGCGGCTTCGATCGGTCCGATAAATACGCCCGTACTTAAAGGCAATTTCACTCCAGCTGAATAGCTTCAAAAACTACCGCGAGCCCCTTGTGCAACTTCTGTTCGCCTTACCCCCACTCCCTCCCCAACCCCTTCCTATCGTTCCGCGAGTGTTTCTTGGCTGGGTGATTGACGGAGCCGCTAGAGCTCTGCTTTTCGGAGCCAGGTAGTTTTGCTGCGCTTTTTCACCCGTGCATTTATATTAATTGAGATGCTATTACACCTATATGGGATCATCTACTTTCTAATTGGAATTCCGGTGATTATTTTTCTGAAAAACTTTACATCATCCGCTCGATTATTTTATAAATAAATATTAAATTAACGCCCGGTTTCGTTGGATTCTGGACGCTCGGTTATCGCCTG